TGGAAAGAAAAAGTTATGTTATATATCTAATCGTGTACAATTTATAAACTGTCAATGAAATTATTGCGGAATCAATCTGATTTATTTCTCTTTGATACCTGAATTATTTGAGTACCTGGTTATAATAGTACATGTGTACTTCTTTTGTTTATTAACCTACAAATGTATTTCAAATGTGATAGTTAACAAGGTAACAAGTTGAAGTGACTTTGACAATTTTTGAGAAAAAGGGCATATTTTTGCAACAAGAAAATTGAAAATTATTGCCGTCGAAAAACCCGTCATGTGGTATCAGATTGAAGTGAATTCCTTTGGGAATTTCTTCAAAAACGATTTAACAAAGGTTACCCAAAGGGAAAGATATAAATTTATAAAAGGGCATAAAATTTAAAAAATGAATTTTTGGGTTTTTGCAGTACAATAAATATAAAAAGTACCATTCAGCATGTTTTTGAAACGTTTCCCTTATGACCAAAACCCAAAAAGAACACATAAATCACCCTTCTATTTATGACATCCCTATTTTTCCAGTACAGTTTTCTATGTTAAATGTACTTCATCTATATTACCCCCAAATGTGTACCCGTCCAGAATGGTAACAAAACAAAATCCCCTTGAGTGGTCACATTGATGTTTGGGTGTGATTTTATTGTTCCCCCAATTCAAGGCGTTTCACATTCAAAACCAAAGCTATTCGTTGAACATTCTGAAAATAGAAAAATAACAGTTCTGCAGATAAATTCCTGCGAAATATTACATTTTGTCTAATCTGTAACGCCAAAATTTTGAAATGGCCTAAAACACTTGTATGATAAAGCAAATAAATACTGTTGACTAGTCCGCATTACCTAAATTGATATCTGAAAATAATAAAATAGAAACATAGATACCTTACAATTCAAGCAATAAGAAATGTTGAAAGATGTTGTTTGTTTTGTTTTTTTTTGGGGGGGGGGGACGTTGATCCTTTAGAAAAACAAGATAAAGAAATATAGTAAAATAAATGTATTATTTCCTTCCGATAGTAGTGTTTCACGTTTAGGCATGGTTTCATTGGGATACTTTTGGATTATTTCCGGTTCCTGAAATTTATTTTTTTTTTTCAATTAAATAAAACGTTTCTAACTGAAAACTGTATACTGAAAAGATTGTTAAAGCAATTTATCAATATGTTAAAATGTTATTAGCATTACGGCATAAAGGTAATGTTGTTAAAATAAGTAGTTTTATTATAATTTTGATCGTTTGCAACATAAAATTAAAAATTTAGAAATACAAATGTTACATTTCCTCTAATTTCTTTATGATGCTTTACTGGTGTCGTGAAGATATTGTTTGATTATTTCCAGGTTACTGACAATAAAATTAACCAATGATAGGTACAAAGAAATATTGACAATATTCCGGGAATACATGCAAAAACTACCCTTTATTTTAACTCTTTTTTTCGACTGCAATAAGGGAATGGAATTATCTTCCACACAACGTCCATAACCTTCCAACTTTCACATCATTCAAACAAAATTTTAAGAAAATCATACGGCACACGTCCAACTATTACTTTTCTGGTGAAAAAACTTCTTCATACAAGACTTCGAACTAAGTGTAGTTCTCTAGTTTAAACATGTTTTATTACATTAAATACATGTTTACAAACATATCATACAAATAATGAGTATATATCAAAATGCAAATGGGTTGGGCAAAAAGTTCTTACAACATTAGATTAAGCCTGTCCCAGAAATTAATATTACAGAAGAAAATTCTTTAAGGCAACAATGATTACTTTTAACACGCATATAAACTTAAAACTATGTATTTCATTTTTGAACAGTTCATTCATTCATTCATTAAAATTTATTGAATTTTCATTTCATCTTGAATTTTCAAGCAATCTATCGATACTGACCGAGTTACACCTGTTATAATTCTAGCGGCTTCGTATTGTAATTGCTCAAGTGATAGTTTTTCATATGCGGCACACCCATCCCAAACAATTCATGCATACGCATATAAGATATATAAATCTGGTTTGAAGTAGATCATTTGAGTTGAAATTTTAAAGCACGCATAGAGCCTAATTTTGACGCAGAAGCTGAAATATTATTAATATGTTCGTGCCATTTCAAGTCACAAGAGAGAGATAATCCTAAATGTTTGTGATTATCCACGAAATCTCAAAAACTAACGAAAAACATTAATCAACCTTTGTTTAGACCATTTATTTATTTTTTCAAGGACGGAGTTAAGGGTAATTTCAATGTAACTTAGATCGTTAGAGGGAACGGATAAAGAGCTATCGTCAGCAAAAAGTCGTGTTACGCTTAGAAGATTTTCAGCAATATCGTTCACATATATATGAAATAAAAGATGACCAAAAGCCAAGCCCTATGGGACACCCGCTGATATATTTAGCACTTCAGAACATTCAGGACCAACAAAAACAGATTGTTTACGATTACATAGATAATTTTCGATCCATGTAAGAAGTTCATTATTTTTACCATATTGTTTCAGTTTAACAAGTAAAGTGTAATTCTCTAAACTACTATTTGTTTTTGAAAAACAAAATGCATCGCCTTTATGTCTTTGCGGCCAAATAGAAAATAACTTTCATTTTTTTCTTCGAATGTAAACAATTTGACACAGCTCGACAAAAGTTACTTCGAAATTTGAATAATTTTGACATTGATTTTAGTGTTCTTCTTTTAGGCAACCCAGACCTTTCTGACCAAACTAATGACATAATTGTTTTACACGTACACACTTACATCCAAGAGACAAAGAGATTCATTTCACACCAAACACATAATCATTATATTCCTATACTTTTTATACCTCATTATTTATATTTCGCCTTCTTCACCACCTTTTCACCTTTCTGTGTTCTTTTCAAATACTATTCTACTTTGTATGATAATATTAATTTAAATGTTAATTCGATCCATTAATATATTCATTCTGATTATATATTCATTCTAAAAATATATTCAATGGACTAAATACTATATTTCTTAAAGCATTTAAATACATATCAAATTTTCTGTTTTCTTTTTTCCTTATATAAATTCGTGATTTTTTATATTATATTTGTCTCGGATTATAAAATATGTAATGATTAAAGCGCCTATTACATGTCAATTACTCACTTAGGAAAAGAATTGCATGAGACATATTGTCTTTCATTCTAAATCTGTTTTTAAGAATATTTGAATTGCTCTCTGTATATTGTAAATTGTAACATGTATGTATATTCTAAGAAATAGAATATGTTTAAACTAATAACAAGAGCTGTCGGTAGGACAGCAATACTCGACTATTCTGAGTGCTTGATAGTAAAAGAGCCTTGACAATGTAAAATTTTTAAAGTTGACAAAAGGGCATTTTTTAATCAATGTTACAGTTATAGGCCTTGGAGAATGTCCTTATGTCTCAGGTGGTATTCAACTTAAATGTAAATTCTAAGTTGAAAAAAGGGCATTATTCTGCCAAATGTTTCATGAAATTATCTCCTTCTGTCTACAGGTTGGGGTCATGATGGTGAACAAATGTCCAAAGTTTTATAGCCATATGTTAATGGACTTTGAAAATATTTGAGGTATTACAAAAACTTTAACATACATTCTAAGTCGAAAACGTGGCATACTTCTATCAAAATGCTTGATACAGTCACCTCCTCCTCCTGTCTACTTGTTGGGGTCATGATGGTGAACAAGTGTGTAAAGTTTTAAAGCCATATGTCAATGGACTGTGAAAATATTTGAGGTATAACAAAAACTTTAACGTAGATTCTTAGTCGAAAAAGGGGCATACTTCTATCAAAATGCTTGATACAGTCACCTCCTCCTATCTACACATTGGGGTCATGATGGTGAACAATTATTGTAAAGTTTCAAAGCCATATGTCAATGGACTTTGAAAATATTTGAGGTATTACAAAAACTTTAAAATAAGTGGTTACGCCGACGCCGAAACCGACGCCGACGCTCCGGTGACTACAATAGCTCTACTTATTCGTATCAAATAGTCGAGCTAAAAATGGAAAGTAATTTCCTTAAATTTAATAAAATATAAGACATACTGGTACAGTTACTTCCTGTTCCGGTATAACCTTGAAAGTAATATATGCCTCAGAAATCCATATTTATTTAAGTCTTAAGAAAAGTCAAACAAATTTTTATCAATGTTTTACTTATGGATTGAATGCATGTTAGATGCTGAACAGGTGAAGAAAGTAGCGTTGAATATCCAGTCATGTGTCATAAACGCAGCAAAATGTAAACAAAAAATATTTTGACTTTAATACAAAATACTTGTTCACTATAATTATACCAATTGTCAAAAAAAAATTAATCGATATGGCAAATGAGCATTTCTTTAGGAACTGTACAAAGATGCCAAAAATTCAAAAAAAAATTGAAATACAAATGAAAGTATTTCTGAGGCATACAATGACTTGAAATCTTACAAAAGGCATTGTTTAAATATTATGTTTGCATACAACTACGCTCGTAGGTATACATTTACGAAGAAGAAACATTAATTAACGGATAATTTCGGGTGAACACTGTTGTTCAACTTTTCTAATATGCGCGACTCTTGACGGCATTAAGGGGTAGCATTTTGCATTGACGGCACTGTAAGTCGATATACCAAAACATAACCTTTTAATAACATCGCAAGAGCACGTGTGAAACAGAACATAATGATTTCCCTTTTCCGAAAACATATAACGAATTGCCAAAATAGACGTTTATTGTAAAGCAAGAATATCACTTATGCAATTTAATCTTGCATTAACATCTGCAGAAGCCTTTAGGTTATCAACTCCCTAGACCTGCGGGCTCGGGCTATATATGCGCCTCCGTGCTTCTGCACATGTTAACGCACGAACAACAGTGCATGAACACTTTATTGTAAGGTGATTGACATTGCTTACTCTCTTACTTATAATATAGCCAGCATAATATGTCAGAGCGCAAATCAAAGCTTTATCTCAGTAAGATGTTTTGTTGTAATGTATTAATCTTGCCGTTATTTTATGCTTCAATGATGTGAACTTTACCTTGACAAGTTCCATCACTGGTCGGAAAATAACCTTCGTCACATTTGCAGTAGAATGATCCTTCAGTATAATTGACACATTTCGAGTTGTCCGGGCACGTGTTAGTTTCGCACTCATTCATGTCTTCTTGACATCTTACTCCGCTCCATCCTTTGGAACAGTTGCACGTTCCGATGATAATGTCACATGACACGGTGTTGTCATTGTCACAATTACAGGTTTCCGTGCAGTTATAACCGTATATACCTTCCAGACAGGCTGTGTAAATATCAGAGAGAGTAGTTTATTATTACACGTAAAGAAGTCCAATAAACAACCGTTTGGTCTTTTCATTTAAAAAAAAAAGAATAATAAAGACATGTTTTGCAAAAAGCAATAAGTTTAATATTGGCCCTGAAGCGTAAAGCTGATGTATGGGAACGTTTTTATGTACTTGTATTTTTATTGCCGACTCGCAAAATAAATTATGTTTTTCCGGTGTATATCATGAGTCTAATTCAAAATCGTAATAGAATCGATATACTTAAATGAGGAGTGATTAATCTTAACAAAGAATTGAACTTTTTTTAGTTAAAAGGTTGAGGTTTCAAGAATTAGATTGATGTCTGCTTGACGTAAATAAGAACCACCAGAACTGTCATCTAGACCATCAGCATAACCATTGACCAATAGTCCGATAAACTGCGAATTTGAGACAGACTTCATAGAACCTCCTTCGTAGAAAAAGAACGAATAGGCAACTTCTCCGTCTGTCACATAGATTACTTGGAAAGTGACCGTCTGAAATTACCAATAACATACTTGTATTACATTTATTAACACATGATCAATTATCTATAGGTCATCTAATTATTACAATGTCAAAGTCGTGTTCTTCACTTTGATATTAACTTATATTTATCACTATTCACTTAGAACAGAACATGATTCCACACAGTAAATGAAGTGGTGCATTTATGAAAACTTAATTTAAAGTTTAATTGTAAACTGATGCTGTATTTTTCTCATAATTATACATTCTAAATACCTCATACGAGTATAGAGTACTTTGGTAACACAAATTGCAAATACTTTATTTTTTTACTTTACTTGTGCTAAAATGGATAGACGTGAATTTTGCAAATACTATAAAATAACGTAAAATCTAAAACAATATAAAGATTTAACATAAAAAACATCACCAAGTAGAATTTTTTCTGCAGTTGTATTATGGTTTTATTTGGTGTAGATACTATAATGATTGAAAAACAGATAACACACGGAATTTTTGTAAATTAAAATCAAAATTAACTCCTTTTAATTTGGAATAACACTCATCTTTGATTTTTTTATTCTAAGCTTATCGATAAAACAATATTTATTTCAGAGTGAATTATATGCAGTGTAAATGAGAGCCGAGTTTTACAATTTATTAATCTGCATGTAGTAGGTCTAAAATCAATTCTTTTGATTGGGCCTTTTTGATTGATGTATACTTAATAATTGATCAAAACAATTACAGTTATAATTGAAAGTTTCTCAAAGAGAAAACTGATAAGTAATAGAGATGATGAATTTCTCTAAATATGGTTTTTTTTTAATTTTATATAGAAACGTATATTTAATACATACTTCGTAACTAGGTCCACCAAATAAAGGGACCTCCTTCCAAGTTGCTTTGAAAATGAAACTCGGTGTTATTTGTATAGAGTATGTTTCATTTACAAGATTTTTCATGGCTTCTCTGATATTTTCAGCGTCTGATGACATGGTATATGTCTGGTACCACACTGAACCCGAGCTTCTCAAATCCAAATCTCTGAAGTAGGGAGCCAGGCAATAAATACCAACTAAATCATGCCTGTATTGTCGGTTTTCTGGAATTGTATAACTATGATAACTTCTGTTGAAACACACGAGCCCATTGGCACAAACCTGAAATATCAAACACAAAATATACACGCAATATTATCCAATCCTTGTTTTATTCATACACCTATAAGTGGGAACTATTGCGTGAGTTTAATTCTTGTAGCTCAAAGTTCGATTTTCTGTCATTTTAGATGAAATCTTATAAGACTCTAGCAACCGTATAATTGTTACCTGAGCATGATTTGAAAACAATTTGAAATGGAAAGCACTGTACTACAGTGTAATGGTACTTTTCATATGAAAATATTAAATGACAATCCTAATTGAGTTGTCAGAAAGTTCTATTAGCGGCGGCTTTGGTTACAATTAGATCTACAACTTACGTAGATTGTTCTGAATCTTGTCTGATTGAACGGCACAGCAAAGGGAGATTGCACAGCAGAACTACAACCGTCATCTGTTCCAGTCATTATGTCGTCTCCTTCTTCATTACCATAACTCAAATACAAATCTGATATAGCCAAAATATAAACCTAACGTATTAAACTCAAATACAAACATAATATAACCAAAATATAAATCTTATGTAACTAACTTTAATAGAAACCCAATAAAGCCAAAATAGAAATCTGGTGTATATAACTCAAATAGAAACCTGATATAGCCACAATATAAACCTTGTACACATAACTCAAATAAAAACCTGAAAATAAAAAAATATACACCTTATGCATATAAATCAAAGACAACCCTGATGTAGCCAAAGAATAAACATTATCTATTTTATGCTTTTCAGTGGATTACTGATTTATCCGTGAAAATTATATTTGATAATTTCACAGTGAAAATTATCAAAATATAATTTCACACTTTTCAATGACGAAACTACTTTTTTTAGATTTTTCCCATGTGGTACCTCAATTTTATTTTTGCTAACAATTCTGACAATGTCAGGCTGTTTAAAGAAAACGCAAAGCTGAAATTGATAATCAACTTAAATGTCAAAAGTAATAAAAAGAAGAAAACTTACTTCTAAGTTCTATTCATTCAAATTCCAATCACCAAATTTCTCTCTAAATCTCTAAATTTTTTGTTTCATTTTTACAGTCTGACAAATACATTCCTTCCACATGCAAACTGCTCTTGATGACATTTGGGCACATTAAAGTATCCTACGAGCAATAACTGCCGTATGCTTTATGAAAAATTGAAAAGCAATGACAGCTATCACCTCGTAGAACAATTAAACCACCCAGCGTTCCGAGCAAGTTCCAAGTTTTCCATTTTCATAGCTGCTTTTTTCATGTTTTCACATCTGTCAACACTTATTTTTTGTCTGTTTCAATCCTCAAATATGTTTTCTTTCTTTTAAAAAGGTGTATGACTAACAAATCCAAATGATATCCCTCTGAATCAAACACAATTATTTTCCTCCCGTGAAATACACAACTTTAAAAAATGGCTGCCGCTTACATTTAACAAAGCCAGCTCTAATATAAATACGCAGTAAGTAACAGAAATATGGATGGATGGTTGGAATTTTTCTCCTACAAGAATTGTTTGTTTTTATTATTAAAACAAGCGATCATTCATATTATTTTAACAAAATAAATAATATCACTGTCATTTAACGTTAATTGTCGGACTTATTTTGCAGCTCAAGACTTCTTGTTTTTAATGAGAAATTCCGACTAAATGGGGCTCTCAATGGGGAAAACAGAATTTAATATTTACGTTAATATTATGGAAATTTCGTTTTAACTTGTTTTTTAGCATAAAATAAAAAGAAAATTTGTTTGTTTGTTGTGTAAGATTTAATTTTATTTCATCTCGTGAACTTTAAAAACAGTATTCTCACTCGTAGCTACGCCACTCGTGAGAATACTGTTTTTAAAGCCCACTCGATGAAATAAAATTTCATCTTACACACAAACAAACAAATATCCTCTTTGTATATAAGTCAAATACAAACTTGATATAGACAAAATATTAACTTTATGTATATAACTCAAATTATTTTTATCAGTAGATATGAAAAATTGTGAAAAACTAAAAATATAAGCAACATTGACATTCGGTGTGATTGATGGTTTAATGCAAGTATATAACAGACATTGGACTCAATAGCGTATCGAAATGCTCTGATTATACAAGGTACATTTTAGTTTACCGGGCACCCTTATTGTAAAAATAGAACCGTTCTTGGTAACATAATACTGGAATCAGTTTTAGGAACGTTGTTGCAGTAACATTGAGCATACAAACTTATCTTTGTTAGTAAGGTCTTTAGGCCTATTTTTTTCCTGGTTAATGACCTACAACTGACCTTACAACGATGCAATATGATATCCCATATTTACACATCATAAACAGGTCATGACATTAAGACTTTCCCCAAGCCATTGAATCTCTTTTGCAAAAATTGCATAACATAATTATGTACACATTCCAACATGAGTTGTTTCCCTTTCATTATGAAAATATATCATATGCTCATCTTTTGAGTCATCGAAATTTATTGAAATTTATGAAATTCTTACTGAAAATATCTTATTTGGATAAAAAATGAATATGCATGGAAGGCTGCATATCCTATTATAGGCCAAGTAAAATTTGTCTTTTCAATAAAAAACAAGTTTTTTAATGACAATATTATTATTTATTTATACTGTGACTGCCTATACTGTAAATAGTTTAAAGCATTAAATATCTACTTTGTGTGAAGTCAAAACACGTTTATTTTATATTTATAAAGAGACTGTGTATCCATTGTCAATATTTTCTTATATGAAATTTGAGCATAAAATATCTTTAAACTATAATTTGAAGAAATGTCATGACCAGGGGCATTTAAGCTTTAACTTAAACAGGGCCAATCAAATTAATATTAACAAACTTGATAAAAGACTTCCTAAGAATGCTACAGACAAAGTTTGGTGATCATCCATCAAATATTTCAGTAGGAGATGATGTTCAAATGTTTTTTCTATATTTAGCTTTAGCGGCCCCTTAAAGGGGTCAATCAAATTAATATGACCAGACTTGATAAAAGACTACCTAAGAATGCTACAGAAAAAAATTGGTGATCATCTATACATTACTTCTGTAGAAGAAGACGTTTAAAGGTATTTCTATTTCTAGCTTTAGCTGCCCCTAAAAGGGGCCAATCAAATCAATATGAGCAAACTTGCTAAAAGGATTACCTAAGAATGCTACAGACAAAGTTTGGTGATTTCAGTAGGAAATGATGTTCAAAGGTTTTTCTATTTTTAGCTTTGGAGGCCCCTAAAAGGGGCCAATCAAATTAATATGAGCAAACTTGATAAAAGACTACCTAAGAATGCTACAGACAGAGTCTGGTGATCATCCATCGATTATTTCTGTAGAAGGAGATGTTTAAAGGTATTTCTATTTTTAGCTTTAGCGGCCCTTAAAGGGACATATCAAATTAATATGAGCAAACTTGATAAAAGACTACTTAAGTATGCTACAGACAACGTTTGGTGATCATCCACCAATTGACATTTAAAGGTATTTCAATTTTTTGCTTTACCGGCTTCTACAAGGGGCCAATGAAATTAATATGAGCAAACTTGATAAAACTCTAACCAAAAATGCTACAGACAAAGTTTGGTGATCATCCATCAATTAGTTCTGTAGAAGAAGATGTCTACAGGTTATTCTATTTTAGATCTAGAGACCCTTTAAAGGGGCAATGAAATAAATATAGACAAACTTGATAAAAGACCACCCAAGAATGCTACAGACAAAGTTTGGTGATCATCCATCATTTAGTTCTGTAGAAGAAGATGTTTAAAAGTATTTCTATTTTTAGCTATAGCGGCCCCTTAAAGGGGCCAATCAAATTAATATGAGCAAACTTGATAAAAAATCCTACCCAAGAATGCTACAGACAAAGTTTTTGTGATCATCCATCAATTAGTTCTGTAGAAGAAGATGTCTAAAGGTTATTCTATTTTTAGATCTAGAGACCCCTAAAAGGGACCAATGAAATAAATATGGGCAAACTTGAAAAAAGACTACCCAAGAATGCTACAGTTTGGTGACCATCCATCTTTTAGTTCTGTGGTAGAAGATGTTTATTTTTTTTATTTTTTAGCTCTGTTGACCCCTTAAAGGGGCCAATTGAAATGACATGAGCACATTTAAATATGACTGTCACAAGGATGCTACAGACCAAACTTTAGGTAAATCTGCCGAAGAAGACGATTGTTGACGCATGACGACGGTCGGCGGACGCCGGAGTATCCCCCTTTGATACAAATAGCTCACCCTGATCCTTCGGCTCTGATGAGCTAAAAATGTATATAATAAACAGAAAATTCATGTTTTCTCTAGAAGTACACGATTTATTGTCATTTTATGGTATGAAACTATTATATTTCATTCGTTGCTACCGCTACTCATGTAATATTTATCTCGATATCACTCGATGAAAATAAATCCTGTATTCATAGAAAAAACTTGAATATCTTCTAATTTCCTTTTGTGTTACTTGGGGATGTGCACACTTCGAAACATATGTAACATCTTTTTTAATGACATTATAGATTTTCAACTTAATTAAAACATTAGGTTAAAAGTAAATAGTTAAAAAACATTTGAGTTAAGAGTTCAACAAAGTATAATTACTTTTTCATAAGTAAGAAGACAATAATATTAAGACCATACACAATCAATTAAGATTAACAAATTATGTTATGTTTTAGAGTTGACTACATTTATTTAAAATACTTAGACATTCAACTTAAACATTTAAGTTGGCAGGAGAATTTTGAATTTGAGATACATTGCCAGCCTCTTAGAACCATTGGGCTTGGATATTGAAATTTTGTGATTCCTAGTGATTCTCTACAATACATAGCATGGAGTAAGATGTCACTACGTCGACTTGTATAAGAATTAACTTTTGTTGTATATTACTAAAATAAGACATATACCTTGTGCGTTTATAATAACTAAGTTCACAAGTATGAAACAGGTTAGAACTCGGAATACATATGTCATATTGATGACTTTTTCTTGACTCTGAAAATAGAAATTATAATGATTATTCAAAATGTTGATAAATGGTGACCTTTGTTACTGTACAATATCTTCATAACAACAACTTTTGGAAGAGAAAACTTTATTTTGTTGACGTGTTTTTGGAAGAATTGATATCTTTGCTGAAAAGAGGTAATTGCTCGAATGAGGGCGGCTCAACAAACGTTGCACTGAATAAAAACCTATAAATACTTAATTAACCAAATTGCTGTTACAAATGTTCGTTAAATTCTTTTGTCATTCTCAGATAGTGATAGTAAAATAATGAGTGTTTCCTCGGAAGCAAGAATATTGTATGGACATTGCAGGCTCGGTCTGTTCATGTAAAAATGTAACAGCTCTCTTCCCCCCTAGCGACAGGCTTAAGCAGTTTTCAAATCTCAAAACTAACATAAAT